AGTCAGGGGAGAGCGGGGTAAACTGTGCCACTTAAGTTTGTCCTGTAGTCAAAAGGGAAATCAAAAACCCAAAGGCCTTAATTATACTTTGGAGCCCACTATCAAGTGACATTAGAAGAAAGCGCCTATAAATATGCAGGAAGAGAAACATGATTTCTCAAATGTAAGCGGTCCAGATTAGGGGTAAGTTGCATAATGTCAAAAGTTACAGTAGTTGTGATGTATGAGAAGAAGATTTATGCATTTATGCATTCGGTAGATGTTTTTTTTTTCTCTGCATTCAGATGTATTCACTGGAAAAATCACAATATAGTATGAATTTAACCTCAAAATAAAATGTTTTATATAAAGAATATTAATGCACATACACTGAAAAAAATGACTCATTGAATTTACTACACTGCTTTAAGGTAAGCAGTTGCAAACTATTTATATGGGCGGAATTTAAACAAATTTAATTAATCATTACTACATTTAATTTGTTTGTTTAAATCCAGTGCATGCAAATAGTTTGCAACAACTTACCTCAAAACGATGTAGTAAATTCAATAAGTATTTTTTTCAGCGTAGATAAGCCTCTGTAATATCTCTTATAATATCTGTAATAGAACTTACAGTAGTGAACTTACAGTATACATACAGTAGTGAACCACTACCATGATTATAGGGAAAATACTTCATTAAAAAATAAATCATGACAGAAAGTTATCCACATACTGTAATTTGATTTTGAATAGCTTCAAACATCGAGCATTAAGATAATAATAAACATAATCCTTTTATTCAGCAATAATGCATTCAATACTGTTCGGATGCTGTTTTTAACATAATAATTAAAGCAATAATAATAACAATAATAACAATGATAACAACAATAATTATAATGTTCATAATAATACTTAATAACAACAATAATAATAATAATAATACTAGTAAAAATAATAATATTAAAAACAACAACCATAATAATAATAATAATAAAAACAATAATAATAATAATAACAACAATAATAACAAACAACAACAACAACAGCAACAATAATAATAATAATAATAAAACAAATCTTAATAATAATAATAATAATAACATTATTAATAATAATAATAGTAATAACATTAATAATAATAATAATAATAATAATAATAATAAAAACATTAATAATAATAATAACAACAATAATAATATTTAATAATAATAATAATAATAATAATAATAATAATAATAATAATAATAATACTTAATAATAATAATAATAATAATAATAATAATAATAATAATAATAATAATAATAATAGGGGTTAAGTTGCATGATGTCAAAAGTTACAGAAGTTGTGATGTATGAAAAGAAGATATATTATATTTATGCATTTGTTTGCATATGCATTGACAATTCACTGGAGATTAAAAATAAAAATATGCACAGTATGCATTTCAACCTCAAAAAAAGCTGTTTAATATAAAAATTATGAATGCACATACAATAAAAAAAAAATTTTGTTGGAGTCATGACATTGTTTTAAGGTAAGTGGTTGCAAACTATTTATATGGACTGGTTTAAAACAACAAATTAAGTTAAACATTACTCAATTTTGTTTGTTTACAACTTTTGTAAATACTCAACACACTCGCTAGTTTGCTTGAGTGCAAGTGGTGAATGTGACATTGTTTGGAGAGGTTCGCTTTGGGTGCACGCGAAACATGATTTCGGCCAGCAGAAATTTTTCGCACCAATTTTTTTGAGACTCAAACCAACAGTTTGCATGGTGCCACATTTGATGGGAGTTGAATATGAATCACTTTGAAGAGATTTTGTCTGAAACGGCTACGCCTGTACTTACATCTTTATGACTCGTCTTTGGTATAAACAGATGGCCAATATTTATTGGTTAAAAATCATAACAGCGGGAAAGGAGCAAAGTTTTTTGTTAAAAGGTTTGGAAAAACCTGAGGGATGAGTTTATTAAAGTCAAAAGAGGTCATGGCAAAAGTGGAGACACGGGTACACAATTACAGAATATGTTTTCCCACCATTTATAGGTTTTACACTGATGTATATATGTCAATTGTGAATTTAAAACCATAGTTGCAAACTAAAATTAAGGAATAAATTATTTCTTTGATAACTGGAAAGGAAAATTTCAACCTATCGGTTTACAATATACTGATGCCCTGCTTTTCTAGGCTTTAACGGTGATAATGGTCAGGAATGTTGGACCAGAGAGTAATGTGTGAATTGTGGAGTGGGCTAAACCTAAAAAAACATCAGTCTTTTCTAGAAAGTGTACTGTTTTGCTTTATTCTTACCATAATAAAATATATATTTGTAGAGTAACCCTTGTTCTGTTGTCATTAATTTCTTAATAAACTTTAATAGGTGGAACTGTCTGAGATATGAACAAATCATATGTTTTGGTATATAAATCTTAACCCTCTACTTCTATAATTATAGGGAAAACCTGTTCGATTTACGATATATACGATTTCGAATGGCATCAAACAGTGACGATTACGAATAAATTTGGTTTATTCAGCAATAATGCATTAAACTGATTGAAAGTGACAGTATAGCCTCATTCACACTACGAGCGACTCACATCGGCAAAGCAACAAGAGCCACTTCATTTCAACAGTGAGCAAGCATCTTCCGGCGACCTCCGTCTAGACGAGCAACAGTGACCGTTGGCGACCAGGTGGGGGTGTCGAGCGATGCGACAAAGTTCCGAACCCATCAACTTTATGCAAATGAAGAGCGACTTTCTTGAGCAACAGCCAATAGGAGCACTGGAAGAGCTCACATTATCCTCTCACAGTTTGCTGAGAGGCTGGTTGTATTCCTTCGTGCTGTAGACATACACAGACATGCGTTTGCAGCAACGAGAGCGACAGACAGCTACAAAGTTGCTGCTAGTTTAAATGAGACATAAGGACATTGATAATGTTACGAAATAATTATATTTAAAAATACTGTTCAGATACTGTTTTCTATATAATAATAATAGGCGGCACGATATTTCGGTTAGCACTGTCGCCTCACAACAAGAAGGTCGCTAGTTTGAGTCCCTGCTGTTTGAGTTGGCATTTCTGTGTGGAGTTTGCATGTTCTCGCTGTGTTCACGTGGGTTTCCTCCAGGTGCTCCGGTTCCCCCCTAAAGTCCAAAAACATGCACTGTAGGCAAAAACTACATTTGCCATACTGTGTGTGTGTGTGCATGTGTGAATGTGAGAGTGTATGGGGGTTTGCCAGGTTTGTGGCTGGAAGGGCATCCACTGCGTAAAATATACACTGGAATAGCTAATGGTTCATTACACTGTGGAGACCCCTGATAATCAGGGATAAAGCCATAGAAAAATGAATGAATAAATAAATAATTTGTTTATAATAAGCATTGTAGAATGATTTCTGGACAATCATGTGACGCTGATGAATCTATGTAAAAATTAGTTGTAAATCAAAGGCATAAATTACATTTTAAAACTGTTTTAAATAGATTTTAGTCAGTTATTTTGAGTTTAAAGGGCACCTAGGTTACCCCTTTTTTCAAATTTAACAAAAGTCTTTTGCGTCTCTAGAATGTGTCTGTAAAGTTTCAGCTCAAAACACCCATAAGATTTTTCATTATACCTTTTACTAAATCCTGTTTTATACATCTTTCCCCCAGTGGGTCGTATTGTCGTACTGCGCCTTTAAGGCGAGTCCTCCCCACATACTGTTTCTACGTGGCTTTCTGCGTGCCTTAAATCTCCTCCCTCGGCTGCGTCAGACAACAGACAGACTTAAAGGAAGAAGGTCTCCCGCAGCGTTTGTGAGAAATACTACATTAAGAACTTTACCAATGAGTATTTGTTGTGCAGTTGCATTGATTAGTAACACGCAATATCGTTACAAAGTTCACGCGCGCACACACACCCTGCAGCAGAGAGAGAGAGAGAGAGAGAGAGAGAGAGAGACACACACACACACACACATACACACACATATAGACAGAGCGCGCTTAGCTTAGTACTGTTTTTGCATGCAAATGTGACAGGATATAGGCTAACCTCCACAAACCGCGATTGAAGCGTCTTCTTTCATAGTTGTTCTGACACGCGGCTGTGCTGATGAAGTAAAGCTGAAGTAAATCGCTGTACTTCATTACACACATGCACTGTTTTAAAACATTTTAAACATGTGAAACATTCTCTTGATCACATTTGATGATGATTGCTGATCCTAGCAAACTGAACAGAGCTTTTATTCCCAGTTGCTTTGCGCTCGTCTTCTCTTGTTGACATGATTATACATGTGACTACCAGGAAATGTTAATACGCAGCTGTCAATCAATTCGGTGGGTGGGGGGACCACACTCCTATGTCAAGTTGTGGTCAGTCTGAAAACCGCTCCAATTGGTCCACTGTTTTTATGTTGTTAAATAAAAAAAAACGGACTGGGTGTGTTTATTTCACCCCAATATGACGGTCTATACACTATATATACACACACACACGTCTTTCCAAACAGCTTGAAAAGTAGATTTTTCATCATAGGTGCCATTTAAACAATAATTTGTGAGCATTAGTGACTTCAAAAAAATTCTAAACTTCTCAACAGTGTATTGCAACAATGCATTTTGGAAACAGGAGATAAGCCTCTGGTCTAATGCGCCACCTGGCTTGAGAAACCCGTTCTCAAAGACTTACTTTTAGTCATTATTTGGTCATAGTATTACATATAATATATTACATTGGGAAGAATATTACATATTCTGAATGCCTTCAGCAGAATTCAAATATGAAAACAACATGCTTCACATGTGCATCTCTCAGCCATGAACAGCTGAACATATCATCTTGTAATAAACAAATGATGCGCATTTTAAAAACAGCTTGGCCCCTCAACAAAGAAAAGAGACAAAAAGAGGCTGGTATGAGATCATTAAAGGGCACAGATGGTGTCGGGGGGTCAAAAGGGGAGTATCATCACGTCTGAATGAGTGTGTACATGTGTGTTTGGACTCACCCGTGAAATGGAGAGAGGCATGTTGAAGTCTTTCCCCCCCTGCAGTCTGAACCCCCACGGGGCCGGACCCTGTAACACCACACTGTATTTACCGCTCATAGCTGTCTGATATAAAACACACCGCAGAGGCTGCCAAACACACACTTAGAGACTCCTCACAGAACGTCCTGGGAGAGAAAAGAGAAAGAGAGAGAGAAAGAGAGCTTTACACAACTTCATTTATAAAAGCGTCAGGTAGGCATACAGTGGTGTGGAAAAGTAATTGCCCCCTTTCTGATTTCTTTTTTTTCCTGCATGTTTGTCGCACTTTAATGTTTTAGATCATCAAATAAATGTAAATATTAGTCAAAGATAGCCCAAGTAAACACATCATGCAGTTTTAAAATTTTTTATTAACCCTCTAACCAGGGTCGGCCCGTGACATTGGCAGTAAAAGGCAAATGCTAAGGGCGCTGTACATCCAGAAGGGCGCCAGAAATGAGCGCGGTTAAGTTGGTTTTGTTTTCGATATTCCTGACACATTCAGTGATAGACGGCTATAACTCAAAAACCTCTTACCCTAAAAAGATCTAAAGTGTGTTTCCTACAAAAACACAAAGCTGGTTATGTTTCACAGCTGTCTTTTTCCTTTTTTTCGCTCGACATTACGCCCACTGCTCCGTTTAAGCCTTCGCAATATGCGTTTGACCAGGAGACCTCGCACTAAGTGGAGCTCTCAGTAAGGGACCGTTAGAAAAGTGCTTCTTTTTTTAATTTTATTTTATTTATTTATTTATTTTAAACACAAATAATTTTCTCTTAAATGAGCACAAACAGTTACTAAAGTAGTCGAATGCTTCATTATAGATCTGTGCATTCTTACATTAACACCTCTGTTATCAAACAAAACACAATGAGAGATTCCTTTGCTGCTCTTCACTAAATAACTATAGTAGCTTTAATCAATATGCAAATACAATTAAAAGTGAAATAGATTTTATAGCTTTATTTAATTTCTGTATAGGCCATTGATTTTAATAGGCTAAACCTTTTATTTTATGGTCAGTATTTTCTAATGTTTGCTATGTATTCTATCATTTGAAGCTATTTGTTGTCTCATATTTTTTACATCCCAACGTTGACATATTGCTAATCAATAAATAGCTATCGTGCTATCTGTTAGTTTTAACGTCAGCTAATGTTATGGAAGGGCATAGATGTTATAGAAAATAGTAATAGTAATGTAACAACCCCCATCATTCCTTCCTCAAGCAAATGTGTGAATATTAGATCTATTCAGCAATAACGTTAATTGCATTGGTATATTTATCTGACGTTTTCCCAGCTTGTAGTAGATGATCAAAAAGCTATTTAGTGTCTTATGACTATACACTAGCACCAAATTGGTTAGGGCCGGGTCTGCCTCTAACAGTCTTCAGTCTAATAAATTTTATTTTTATTTTTTTAAGAATCATCGAAATGGCCTGAAATCCTTTTTTGGCTTTTGGTATGTAAACACAAAAGAAACTTGAGGCCATGATTCAGACATGCTAAGTGGTTGTAAAAATAGTCACACTTGTGGTGTTCGTGGTCAAAAATGACCTCCATATGAAATGAATGGGAAATATAAGAACATCTCTTTATTTATCAGGGGTCACCACCACGGAATGAACCGCCAACTTATCCAGTATATGTTTTACACAACGGATGCCCTTCCATCTGCAACCCAGTACTGCAAAACACCCATACACACTCATTCTAGGGTTGCACAGTTTACCGATACTATGGTAGTTAATTTTATCCCCTAGCTCGGTGGTCCTCAACCATCGGTCCGTGGATCAATTGGTACAGGGCCATGCAAGAAATCATTAATTATTTCCATTTTATTATTATTTGAGCCTGAACGATCTTTTATTTTAAAAAGTCTTTTATTTTGAAAAATGACCATATTTACGCTTACATCTCGGTCACTTTAGCGCCCAAATTTAACCCAAAAGCAACAAAATGAGTACGAAACAGACGTCTTTGGAAAGTTTCTTTGCCAAGGGAAAACACCAAGTGAAGGAACTGCCAAGGAATGGATCCGCAACTCATTTGTCAATAAGTCAGGTGAATCCAGCATGGCTGTTCAACAAGATCAACTGATGGAGATCACAAATGACAGCGGCTTTTTAGAGGCCATTCGCATATCAAGTTTGTTTTTTCCAATGGAGGTGCACCGAAGGTCACGTGACAAGAATTGACTGATCAGCTTCAGCTTGTATGGATTATTCATATTTCGGTAAGATTCGTTTTCTGCCTGACACGGACTATGCTTACATGGACAGTGGACACCAATAATCCCATTTTAATATGATTAAGACAATACTCTGATTAAGAGTCTACCATTTGAACAGCAATTTTTAATTATTTAATCCGATTAAAGTCATAAAGAAACTAAAGAGAAATGGAATATAGACATGTGAAGTATGCCAATTTTAGTGCTATTATTGAAGTGCAGTGCAGACATGCAAACACCACAATCGACACACAGCTGAATTTTGTGACAGGATGGTCCACACACACGGCTGTTTGACACTATTCTCTGCACCTGTGAAGGACCACAGACTCCTGCATCACAAAATGCGAAGGATTTTTTTCCCATGCGGCATGCGGTTTCAAATTTTATTAAAACAACACTCTTCCAGAAGTTCATACTCATCCATTATCTCATTTGTCACGGGGGGCATGCATGAAATGTTCCTTCATGAAAATGAAAGTGCCAAACTGCAGTTGAAGTCAACAAATTAACAATGAAACACCCGAAATTACTTGAAACTCCGAAGGAAACATGGATAGCACGGTGACGTAATGATGTTAATCGAATGATGTGCTATAACATGTAAAACAGAATCATGAAAGGAACATTCAAAAAGCAACTCATTTAAACAACTTAATCATATTATGGTCATATTCAGATTAAGGCAAATAATTTGATTACTGATGTCCACGTTAACATGAAGTAGACCAAAAGATCTTCAAAAGTTGGAATTCACTTCAAAGAAAATAATTGAGAAAATCAGTAAGGGGGCAAACACTTTTTCACACCACCATATCTCAACCAATACTTAAACTTTGCATTTATAAAATATATTTATAAAATCACAAATGTATAATTCTCCAAAAACACCTTATATATGCACAATTACAAATTAGATTTTCATAACACACATTAAAAACCATTTGGAATAGAGAAAGAGAGAAAGAGAGAGTGGTGAAAAAGCATGTGATTTAAAACTAAATTGTAAAAAAAATAAATAAATTGAAAAACAAAATGTATGCAGTGTGCCCATAAAAGTTAATGCTAGGGTATTGCATTTATGCAGCTTTTAAGTGTTTTTTGGGATGGTTGCATGCTTGCAAAACTTTTCTTCTGGCTTTTAACACTATGGGCTTTTTTTAACGATCTAGGTGCAAAGTCTAAAGCGTATGGCACAAAAGCATTAAGGGCATGTCTGGATCAACTTTTGCTATTTTAACGACAGAAAAATACATTTTGCACCGTGGCGCATGGTCTAACAGGGTTGTGCTTATCCTCTTAATGAGCTCTGGGTGTGTTTTGAGAATAATGAGAATTAAAACAATCAGACGCTCATCTCACATTCCCTTTAAGAGTCAGTTGTGTCGTGCTATGGCACATTTACTATTTACATGATGGACTTTGTAAAAGGAAAAACTGAATGGAAAAATGAACGATTGCAGCATAAAGATAAAGAATGAGCCTTCTCCATTCGGCTTCTTTACTTTCTCTTTACTTTTACTCTTCACTATACTCCTTTACTTTCTGTTTTTGAATGCACTCCACTGAAGACATCCATTAGTCTCCATATTTAATTTTGTTTGTTAAGCACAAAGATTTGTTTCAAAACTATTTTTAAATTCATTTCTAATTTCCAGCAAATTAACAAGTGAACAATAATAAGGAAGTGTCGTCAAAGTACTGAGTTATATCCAAACACACTTCCTGTTCTTATGCCTCATACAGTATGATGATGCAGACATCTCCAAAATTTTTGTGCGCATGTTATTTTTGAATGTCGCTCTCATATATTTCTTTATACAGTAAATATATTAAACATTGTTACAATTTAAACTAACCCTTTTCTATTTAAATATACATAAATATATTAAACATTGTTACAATTTAAACTAACCCTTTTCTATTTAAATATACATAATTATTAAACGTTATTCATTCCTGTAATGCAAAACTGCATTTTCAGCATCCTTTCTCCAGTCTTTAGTCTCATGATTCTTCAGAACTTAATAAATATGCTGATTCCATGTTCAGGAATAATTTTGATTAATAATTAATGTCAAGACAACGATAAAACTTAATAGCTAATTTTTTGGCTTTTTTTTTTTTTTTTTTGGTTTTCAAGTCATATTTTTTTATGTTTTCCTGTGTTTTTATATGGAAAACAAATATTGAACACCGTTTTTTTTCTCATGACTTCATAATATATAACTTTTTATATTTTTTAACATGTAACTTACCCTTTTAACACAGTAAAGCTCAAAGTGTCTTCTTTCCAATAATAAATAATTGTGTTTGTAGCTTACTGGAGTCAGAAACTGTTACTATTTAAAGTTAGGTAGCTGTAAATCCCTAAAATTGAGTGCTGGCTAACAGGTTAAAAGCTGGAATACATTTTTAGGATTTTTTAATTAATTGAATGTAAAAACAAAACAACAGCATTTCATTACAATAAAAATCTTCAGCAAAATATTTAATGTCTTTAACATTTGATGAATTTAATGCATCCTTGCTAAATAAATGTATTCAATGCTTTAAAACAAAACAAATCTACTGCTACTTCAAACATTTTTATATAAAAAACACTTTGATATATCATTATATAAAAATGTAAACATTCTGCATATGTTATTGAAACCTGGCAACCACAACAACAGTACAATAAACAATGCAATCATGGATTTACCTTTAGAAAGCAGCACTTTTCCCAAAACGGAAAACAAAACTCCGTGAAACAAGTCTAAAGCTCTGACACAAACTGATCCAAACAGACGGCAGAAATTCAATTTATACTCATCTATCAAAGGGTGTGTGTGTGTGTTTTGGGGGTTGGGATGGGGGATGCTTGGCTTACACTCGGATATTTTGGGAACAGACCTTAGACGTGCTGCCAAACATTACGGAGTAACCATCATAAAGCCCCCAGAACCCCAAAACAAAGGTTCTGAGATTAGGATATCAAGATCAGAATGTTCATCGGGACAGATTGGACGTCCCGCCAAGAGGGAACGCTTTAGCCTGCCAATGTGTATCCATACTGTCCAGTAATTCTCCATGGGAAAAGAGTAAGACTGCTGTAAACATTGGAATAGAGATGAGATCCACATGTGATCTGTACTGTCATCATGCATTAGTCAGTGCGCTCTTCATCTGCTATCAATCACAGAAATGTTGCACTCGTTACACAAATCCAAATGGAAAATTATAGTAATGGGCAATTACTATATGGACAATTGGTCAATTATAGCAATATTAGAGATGTTTATACAATGCTTTGATTGTTTTGTCTGGCTACTGTTGCGCTGTGATTTCCATTTTGGAAGACGTCAAACCAGCTGGTATAAGCAGCATCACGAAGGATACTCCAGGCCACTGATAAGATAGTACTTCAGGATAAACTGCAGATCTACTACCAAGTCACTTTAAGATAGTTTCCTAAACCTTTGCATTTAATGTTCCTCGTTAATTAAATGAACTTCCCATTGCCACACAGACTGCAGATTCACTATTATCATTCAAACAACAACTAAAAACCCTCTTCCAAACGTTTGAACACTTGAGCACATAAAAAATAACGGTAGAAAGTAGAATGAATGGATGGACAGTACATTGGATGGTCAGATAGATGGACTGGTCAGATGAATGTTCAGACAGGTGGACAAACGAACAGATGAACAGATGTACGGATGGATGGATGGACAAAAGAATTCTGGATTGATGGATGGATGGATGGATGGATGGATGGATGGATGGACGAACAGATGGATGAACGGACGGACAGACAGACAGACAGTACATTGGTCAGATAGATGTTCAGATGGATGGACAAACGATAAGATGAAAAGATGGATGGATGGATGGATGGACAAACGAATAGTGGATTGATGGATGGATGGACGAACAGATGGATGAACGGATGTACAGATAGACAGACAGTATATTGGATGGTCAGATGGATGGAATGGTCAGATGAATGTTCAGATGGATGGACAAACAAATAGATGAAAAGATGGACGGATGGAGAGACAAACGAATAGTCAAAAGGATGGATGGATGGATGGATGGATGGATGGATGGACAGTACATTGGATGGTAAAATGGATGTATGGTCGAATTAAAGGATGGACAGTACATTGGATGGTCATATGGATGTATGGACGGATGGATGGACAGTACATTGGATGGTCAGGTGGATGGATGGTCGGATGAATGGATGGACAGTACATTCACTGGTCAGATGGATGGAAGGTCATATGGAAGGAAGAATGGATGATGGATGAATAGATGGTTGGACTGATAGATGGTCTAATGGATTGTCAAAGGATCGGATGAATGGATGGTTGATGGGTGGATCCATTGATGAATAGATGAACAGATGACCTGATAGAACTGCAGATGGATGGATGGATAGATGGACTAATGGAACTACAGATGGATGGATGGATGGATGGATGGATGGATGGATGGAATCTCAGATGTATAGATAGATGTATGGATGGCCAGTACATTGGATGGTCAGATAGATGGAAGGTTATATGGAAGGAAAGGTAGATAATGGATGAATAGAGATTTGGATGGTTTGATGGTCCAATGGATGGTCAAAGAGTTGGATGGATGGATGTTTAATTGGTGTATCCATTGATGAATAAGGGATGGATAGACAGATGGACTGATAGAACTGCAGATGGATGGATGGATGGTATCTCAGATGTATTGATTGATGTATGGATGGATAGAGAGTAGATTGGATGGTCATATGGAGAATAGATGGTTGGATGGATTGATTGACGATTGGATAGTTAAATGATCAATGGCTGGATACATTGACAAATGATAGATGGATAGATGGATGGATGGATGGATGGATGGATATACTGATAGAACTGCAGATGAATGGAACCACAGATGGATGGATGGATGGATGGATGGATGGATGGATGGATGGATGTGAAACAGCAGATGGATGGATGAATAAACAACTGAACAAATGAACGAAAGAATGAATGAATGAATGAATGAATGAATGAATGAATGAACAAACGATGGATAGACCAACAGATGGATGGGTAGAATGCTGGATAGAATGCTCATTTCTGGGACGATGTCTGTCACAGCAATCTGGATGGTGATTTTAAAATAGACATTAGACAACCGCGTTACTCATCACACTCATTCATCTGCACCACAGACATCCAAGAGGAACAAGCGGAAGACAAAATCCATCAACAAAATATTAATACTACGAGGTGCTTTTAGGATCCCTGACCGTCTGTGTGTGTATGTAAGTGTTATAAGTAAGTAAGGAATTTGTCCTGTATCTGACCCAAACCTAATATCAATACTTTAAAACTCATCATACACCATGTGTTCCCCTCCACACACACTCACATCTAATATCACACACAATGGTAAAATCCCATTAGTGACATATGATAAATGATCTACGCAGACACACACAATAGAGCATTCAGAGGCACGCTGAGCGCTGGCAGTAAGTAGCTTTAGGCTTGAGTGAGAACAGCTGAGACCAAAGCGAGAACAATACACGCAGCCTGTGTGTGTGTGTGTGTGTGTGTGTGTGTGTGTGTGTGTTCATAATAACTGTTGGATTAAGTGCCTCTCCAGTTTACAGCTTTTTCCAGAATCATGCCATTATAGATCCAGTGGCTCCAAAGACACAAGGAAAGCAGATTGTTGCATTGTGTTGCGTTTCATTCATCCACTGGTTTTAGATCTGATACGTTAGCATTACAAAGAGATTTAACCACCACAGATAACTCACTACTACCTCATGCATGAGACAATTCATGTATGGTTGAAGTCAGAATGATTTGCCCTCCTGTGATTTTTCTTGTCTTTTACAGTTCAATGATGTTTAACAGAGCAAGGAATTTTTCACAGTGTTCTCTATAATATTTTTTCTTCTGAAGAAAGTCTTGTTTGTTTTATTTTGGCTTGAATAAAAGCAGCTTAAAACTTTTTATAACCATTTTAAGGTAATATTATTAGCCCCTTAAAAGGCATGGCATGATAACCTATTTCAAGGTTTACCTCGGTTTGGAAAAGTCAAGGTTTTATAACTGCTAGAATGTTGTTCCGTTCCTACACTGTCAGAAATAAAGAGGCTGTCACTGGAGTGGTACCTTTTTAAAAGTAAAGAAGGAGTCCTTACTAATACCTCAAGGGAACATACTAGTATCTAAAAAGTGCAAATACGCACCTCTTGAAAATTTTAGGTACTAATATACACCTTTGGGGTTTCAATATGGACCCTTTAAGTACAAATGTGTACCTTTTGAAAAGGTACCACCCCAGTGACAGCTCTCGTACCTTTATTTCTGACAGTGTACGGTATATTTTAGGTTTTTATGTGTTTTTACAACTATTTTATTTAGTTTTTTTAGGACAACAGTATCTCCACATCAAAAGCTATTGGTCAGGCCACGATTCAGCAAACATCTGAAAAACAAATTGATTATAAACCAGCAACCAAGCATGCTATAGAGCTGAACAGTGATGTGGCTTCACTTTATATCCTAAAAAAAGAAAGACGTAAAGATGTAAAGAAAGCAGTGTTTTTGAGACTAATGAAGACAGCAGAAGTTAATGATTTAGTTCATTTATTTACCCTGACTTGTTTACTGTTACACAATATTTTAAATGTTCATTAAAATAAAATATATTGTGGTGAATGGGGAAAAAGTTGTCTTTTACCCAGACATTTAAAAATGGAACATATTTTAGAGCAGTAACCACAATACCGTACCGTGAAACCAGGATATTTTTATCCAAGGTTAACATACTGTTAGAACTGGCCCATGCCGAGCCTCTTAAGCAGTATTTGTTTTCGATCGTCTACAGAACAAACCGCTGTTATAAAATGACTTGCCTAATTACCCTAACTTGCCTAATTAACCTGGTTAAGTCTTTAAATGTCACTTTAAGCTGAGTACTAGTATCTTGAAAAATATCTAGTCAAATATTATCTACTGTCATCATGGCAAAGATAAAGTAAGTTAGTTATCAGAAATGAGTTATTAAAACTATTATGTTTAGTGTTGAAAAGATCTTTCTGTTAAACAGAAATTCTAGATTAGAATATTCAGGACTTCAACTGTATGAACAACACACACAAACTGTCTGGCTATACTATACGTGACCCAACACTAATCTAATTTAATCCCAATCTGTCTGCACTGAATCAATGCAACTACACCAGACTAGCAACTCATTCAGTCATCTGAATGTTGTTGACATTTATAAACCTGGAAATCTAACTAGAAAATCTAACTAGAAAATGACAATATCGTTTATGCGATTCGCGATACCCAAAATAACAATTACAGCGACTTGCAACCACCACTAACCGTGCAGGTTGTTTATCTGCACAACTCTGGTTAATCTGCACAACTCTGGTTTACTTTGCACTCATATGCTATATGCCCTTAATGCCATTGTATTGTTTACAATTTTATTATCTATGTATATTTTTAGACCACATTTTATGTACAATGTACTGTAAATTTTATTTTTCTTAAGACTCCACTATTTTTTATATTTTTTTATATTAATGTTAAGCACCTTGGGTCTGAGAGTAACGCAATTTCGATTCTCTATATGTCTTGTACATGTGGCTGAATTGACAATAAAGCTGACTTTGACTTTGAGGTGGTTATAAACATACAAACATTGTACACAACAGTGCACACAAACCAATAGGAACTACTTAAACAAGCTTATTAACAACACAAAAAAGTGCAACAGTCTAAAAATCATATTATGTTTAATATTCTCACTTAATGAGAATGATGAGCACAATGTTTACTGCACAAGGCTATTCTTGGTTCAATTTTGGAGACCGAAACTTGTAGATCATCCTCTATGTTCAATCGTGGCCTTTATTTTTAATGTATGCGAGTACTGTAAAAGTGTCAAAATTTAACATTGTGCTGTTCAATCAATGTGTTGCAACCTATTGCGGTGTCATACCGTAATAACCCCAGGG